TTAAATCAAGCTTCAGTTTCCTCATCTGGGATGAATGAAAGATTAAATAAGCTAATATATAAAACTCCAGGACAGTGACACAGCACTTCATCCAAAAACCAAAGGCTAATATTTAATAATGCAGATAAAATGCTCTGAAAAATACAAAGTGCTACCCAACACAAGCAATTATTTGCTAAACACTAAGAATATTCTTTTCTTTCTTTTTTTTTTAAAGAGATGACTGGTAAGGGGATCTTATCCCTTGACTTGGTGGTGTCAGCACCACGCTCTCCCAAGTGGCCTAACTGGCCATCCCTATATGGGATCCGAACCCGTGGCCTTGGTGTTATCAGCACCGCACTCTCCCGAGTGAGCCACGGGCCGGCCCCAAGAATTTTCTTTCAAAAACTGCTAACAGCAGAAGGCTGCTAAACATCATCAAAACATGTATTGAATACCTATGTGAAACGTACTATGTTAAATGCTAGGGATGTTAACGGGGAAGTTACTACAGGAAGTGTATTTTCCTACGGCACAGCTCCAGCCCAATGCTGGCAATTTATTCTAGTCATTTTAAGAGAGGCTGGTGTTTAACCACGGACAACTTAATTGTTCTGAAATGTAATCTGTTTCTAGACAAACCTAAACTCTGACACATCTCTACGAGCACAAAGCGCAGTGTGAAATACAACGGAAAGGAGAGACAATAGGAGAGGAAAGAAGCAGGTGCACACCGTGGAACCAGTCGCAGAATCAACAGGAAAAAAGAACATACTGCACTGGTCTCTGGTTTATGGGCTCCAGACTGAGAAAAACAACTGTAGATACCACACTGTGGCATAGCTAAGTGCAAGTCACCAGGATCTCTTTCCCAAAAGGGGCGGCACCCCGGCCGTGAAAGTCTGTTCGCTTGTTTGCGATCCAGAGCCAAAATCGCAGACCGGCCTGAACGTCTTTAGTAGACCACGAAGGAGGGGGGGTTCACAGTCCCTCGGTCAGGAACGCAGTGAAGCCTAGACCCCCAAGCCCTGGCTA